CTATAGCTTAAATCCATCTGCTCTGACAAGGAGTGTTTTTATGCTGTGAAATCCAATGAACACATTTGTGAAGAACACAGCAGAAAAGCTAAAGAGGAAGACAAGTGCAGTGGTTACAAAAAGATGGCTCTGACATCTGAGATGAGCAGCATGTTGTCAAAATCAGGGTCATTTCTCCTGAATGAAGCCATGAAAGCTTAATGTTTACCTGGTAAGTCTTCCAGAGTCTCTGGCTTTAGCACCATCGTAGCTTCAGTCAGGTGGTTTGCAAGCGACACAGCTATTACTGTTCATCAGAACTAAAAACATCTATTGAATAGATGATCTTTTCTATTGAATAAAAGCATAGATTTACTGGAAGAGATTATCATTGCATATAATTTCTGTTAAATTACCTTCCTCTGATTATGAGCTTTATCAGGAACAGAAATAACCAGCAGTCCTCCAGCAAATAGTTTAAATGAGTTAGCTTAAAAACTGCATTAAACTGTCTTAGCTATCAAATGATGCAATCAAATTAAAAAATGATGTGCTCATAAATGAACTAGGAACAAATGTACAAAGTTGTTATGGCAACTGAAACACTGAAGTTAAAATTATGAATCTCAAATTCTTGCAAATAAAAGTAAATCAATTTCTAAGGTAATTGGAAGTTCTTTCAAAAATTATTTATCACAGCATCATCTTTCATAGTTTCAACAGAACTGATTTGATAGCTTTCTAATGAAATATAATTAATCAAGAAGAAGGTTTTAGTAGCTTATGAATTACTATGATCTTGATATTTAACTTCTAATCATCAGTTACACTTGCTGAGGTGTTCCAGTTTATTTCCATTCATATGACTCTATTGGACATATATATTTTGCACCTGAGCAATTAGATTGTGATTGCTGTTATGTGTTGCTTTATTGTAGCTCATATTTTTGTCTAATGCACTGAGTCCTACTTAAAACATGCCTTTCTTCCTTACTTTGGAAAATAACTTCTTTTTAATTCTAGTGGTATTTGGCATTGCATTTAAATGAGCTCCTCTGATGTGTCTACAAAACCCTGTCCTCAATAGAGCAACCAAGTGTTATTGCAGCAACAGCATTAATAATTACAAGGCCATGTTTTAGAACAGTTGGCTAAGCTGGGTGTGAGTAACGTGCTGGATCTCTAGCTCTAATCCTGATGTTTCACTAATTTCTTGCTCCAGTGAGAGTGAATAAACAGCCCAAATAGCTTGTATCATTACCATTATAGAATCACAGAATGGTGAGGTTGGAAGGGGCCTTTGGAAGTCATCTGGTCTGACCCCCCTGCTCAAAGCAGGCCACCTAGAGCCAGTCACCCAGGACCGTGTCCAGACGGTTTTTTGAATTCTCCAAGGATGGAGACTCCACAGTCTCTTTGGGCAACCTGTGCCAGTGCCAGTAAAAAACGTGTTTCTTGATGTTTGGAGGAAGCCTTCTCTATTTCAGTTTGTGCCCATTGCCTCTGGTCCTGTCACTGGGCACCACTGGAAGGAGCCTGGCTCCGTTGTCTTTGCACCTTTTGGTATTTATGGACATTGATGAGATCCCGCTGAGCCTTCTCTTCTCCAGGTTGAACAGTCCCAGCTCTCTCAGCCTTTCCTCATGGGAGAGATGCCCCAGTCCCTACATCATCTTTGTGGTGCTTTGTTGGACTCTCTCCAGTCTGTCCATGTCTCTCATACTGAGAAGCCCAGAACTGGACACAGCGCTCCAGATGAGGCCTTGCCAGTGCTGAGGAGAAAGAATTAGAGAATTGTGTAGCTGATGAAGTTTATTGATCTTTGTCTTTCCTCCTTTTTGCCCCTTCTCCAGGTCTCTTTGAAGACAACTCTTCAATCTGTAACAACACTCTGAAGACATTTTGTTGTACTTTTCAGTTCTATCTTTTCCAGAGAAAAAAACCAACTCTTTCACTCTTTCTTCATTGGTTTCATTTTCTGAGCAGCTTATGAGTCAACCTTGCCCCTCTTCAGACTCATTTTCAGTGGGTGTGTAAATATGCATATAACATCCAAAATTAGACACCATATTCTTTCAGAGTCTCCACCAGTGCCAAGTTTATAAAAATAATTGCTTCCATGAGTTCTGTTTGCCAGTTCTAAATACAACCTAGAATTAGTCTTTCTTCTTTTGCAGCAACATTGCATTCTTGTTTGAATTAGCCAGAATTCCCCAAGCCCTTTCTTCTGTGTTTGAAAGTTATTCTCCATTTTGGTTTTACACATTTGTTGTTGTGTTTCTCCTAGGAGTGGTTTTGGAGTATTTAATCATGTTGATTTCTGACCATTGCTTGCACTAGTCAGTGTCTGCTCCCTTCCTTCTGTGTTACCTGCAAAATTTTGTGTGTGTTTGTTATTTGACCACATGAGTGTTAATGAAAATATTGACCATGGAACCATCATATCTTTGTGATACATATCTCAAAATGTTTCCCTGTTTGGTAACTACTTTTTGAAAATGGATTTTTCTAATTGGATATGTTCTCCCATTCCTCATGACAATGACTTTTTCTGCTCTAATGTTTCACTTTTTAAGTTGAGACAGCATCAACTAGAACTGTATAACAGTTTAACAAAGGTCGGAATATGCTACATGTTTTCCTTTCCTTTTTCCACTAAGCCAGTTACCCTGTAAAGGAAGGAAATTACGTTAGTTTGACATGATTTGGTTTTGACAAAGCCATCGTGGCTGTTTGTTATCATTTTAATTATCTCCAAGGTGCTTATAAGTGGCTAGCTTAATAATTTGTTTGCTATCTTTGTGGATATCAAAATGAATTCTGTAACTCTCTGGGCTCTTTGTTGGTTTATATATATGGTTATATATACACACATGTATACGTGTGTGCGTATATATACATATATAGATAGATAGGTGAAATGTTTCCCTTTCCATATTCTTCTGGAATCACCCTCATCCCTCTCTGAGGTCTCAAAGATTATTTTTAATAGCTCAGAGATTTTGTTTTATATTTTCAGGATAATTTATTTATTCTGCATTGAACTCAACCAACCATCTCCTTTCTTCGCCTTTCCTGACTAATATGCCTGAGATGGCTAACAGGAATGAAGAAAATGTAATTAGTTCCATAGGAAATACTTTTCTTGAGTCAGGAGTGAAGCTTTGACTTGGCTCCTTGCAAATGAACATATTTGTTGATAAAGGAGTTAGTAAAATGAATATAACCAATTTGTAAAGTTCTGAGGTATCTAAAGAAGCATTCGTTGAGGTAGGTAACTGCATAAGCACATGGAGAAGTCTGCTTAATGTTAGTGCCTTGTACAGAGAGAAAAAAACAAAAGGTACAGGTATTTTGCATGCGAAAGACACTTCATGCCTGTCAGCAAAACCAGCCATATTGAAGCAGGCATTGCCGGAAAAAGCATGAGACCACCTAAGCAGTCGCTTTATTGCATATGTAACTACAAGTGAATAAGATTATATGGTGACAGCAGCTCTCAGGATCCAGCTCAGCCAGAAAAAGGAACCAAACCTATAGGTCTTGATGAGAGAAGTGGGACCACACACCTATGTGAATGTACAGCCAGTGGGACGAGCCACATTATTTTAGTTTCTGTGTATTGTTTCTACTTCTGAGCCATGGGTAGATTTAAAAAGCTTGAAAGTAGATGATCCAAGTCCTTTAATCTCAGAGCCCTACAAGAAAATAGTAAGACATACAAATGAAATGCACATGTGTGTATTTAATTAAGTGCACTTCTGATGGTGAAGTTTCCCGTGAGCATGGATTGTTTGGTCATTATAGTGTGGGCAGTATGGGCACTAATCTGTGGATATCTACATCTCTATGCTATGGCTGAGAAGCAAAGACACTAGAAAGGAAAGGGGGAAATCACTGTACATCTTTAGTCTCTGCAACTGTTTTTTAGCCTCTTTGGAAGACTTCAGAGTTCCACACCCATGTACCAGGGCAGAGGCTTCATGTGATGATGTTACCTCTGCTGCAGAGAATCCACCATTTCCTCACTTCCACTTTGAACCTGGCATTCAGGACAAGAGGAATGACTGTGCGCGGCAGAATGCTTTTAGCAAAA